CATAGCCATTACACTAACTACTGGTTCCCTCCTCACTGTTTTTTAAGCCACTGGGTCTGGGACTTGAACTGCCAATTAGCCATGTGGGATCCAGGTTGCCTTAACCACCATGCCACTAGGCTGGTCCATAATGTGATTTTTAAATCTCAGGAGTAATTTCTAGAGTATCATTTCCATGGGTAACACCATGATGTTAAATCCTTAATCCCTATGAGATTTTGTTTTCTATTTGAAATGTGTTACTTTAAGCAATGTCATTGTTGTAACTGCAAAATTGTTTAGGATTAATCTATATTTTCTACAGCAACTGGTTCTGAGCCTATGTACTGGTCAAGTTTCATGACGAGCAGTATGCAGTTGGCAAAAGAGTGTCTTAGCCAGAAACTAACAGATGAACAGGGAGAAGGATCCCAACCTTTCGAAGGACTTGAAAAGTTTGCTGAAACTATCGAAACAGGTTTGATATCATTGAGCATTTTCAAATTTTAGATTTTATTAGAATTTAGTACCTTTATTTCATCAACTTCATATAAGGCCAGTTTGTTGGAATGATTTTGAAAGAATTACTGTTCAATTTAAGAACTTTAGAATTGAGATGTTTAAAATATATACAGTGTAATTGCTTGTTCTGTACTCCGGTTTCTCCTTTATTTTATTATGCTTGCATAGTGAAGAGCTTAGAATGGCACAGTTGGTGTTAGTGTTGTCCCAGGTGTTAATTGGGATGTGACATGCGCAAGTGCTCAGGAAGGCAGTATTTTTTCTTCATTTGGCTAGTGTGTGTGTGTGCTCACCAGAGAGAGAGAGACGGGGAAGGTGCGAAATCATCCACCAGGGTGAATGGCCAGATTGCAGTCCCTTATTCTCCATTCTTCTCTTGGGATTTTGGGCAGGCGCGCACACACACACTGGTCATGTTTTTCAAGTCCCTGGATCTGAGACTCGAATCATGCAGTTAGTCATATGAGATCCAGACATCTTCACCACCATGGTACTAGCTGACTCCAGGGAAGGTTTGTTTTGTTGTGTTTTTTAATAGAATTCAGGATTTTGGGATTTTAAAGGAAATTCAGATTTTTATTTTGTACATTTTTAAAAATCAAACTAGTGTTTGTTCCTTTCAGTAGTTTAGTTCCTTTTGTTTAGTACATGTGTGACCTCTTACACTGACAATTACTTACTTGCTCTAGTACTAAGAAGAGTAAAAGTCACTTTTATAGACACCGTCTTGAGAATTGAACATGTGCCTGAAAATTCCAAAACAGGAACCGCACTCGAAATTCGAATAGAAAGGTAAGAACTCTTCTATTTGAAAACGACAAAGATCTAACTCTCACATTAAATTTCAGGATGCTTTTGGAGATGGGAGGAGATTGAATTTAATTTTTGATTTAAAATATTGCCTACTTTTAGAGTAAACTTGCTGCTCTCTGAGTTAGAATAATTCCATTACTGAGAACCTAAAGTGCCAGTGGGTATATTTACATGGACTCTGTTAAATTCAAAGTGCAGTATTATCTTTTTTTGTTAATAGCAAATCAAACTAACAAGTATTTGAGTGCTGTTACATTAAGGCACTCTGGGATCAGCAGGTGATGTAATGGTTATGTCCCTGGACTCCCACATTGTTGACTGTAGTTTGAGTCCCAGACCGGGAGGCTTGACTCACACCGGGCACGTGTGCGTGCTCGCTTGCCCAAAATCCCCATAGGAGAATGGAGAAGGAATTGCACTGTGTACTTTCCCCTGGGAGGTGATTTCTCACTTTCTCTCTCTTTCTGGTGAGCACACACGTGTTATGGCAAAAATCTCTCTTAAAAAAAAAAATTAAGGCATTCATGGCAA